TATCAAATCATAAACTAAGAATTCCATTCTAAGAACTCCCAATAAACATATCCTAAGGTTTTTCATAGAAGAAAATTCCCGATCGTATCTCCCATTTGAGTCATCTTTTTCTGGTTTTGTTTTGCTTGTTAAATCCATGCGTTTGTAATGTTTAGTGGCACGCTGTGAAAAATGAGGCTCCATTTTAAACGAGTCAACATCAAATTGCGAGAGGAATAACCATGAAAGCTAATCTCACTCAGTTTTCATGATTCGATACTCTTGTTTTACAATTAGAAAACAATCTTGTTGAGTTTTCTTAATGTTGTTGGATGGCATTAAGTCAGACACGGGTGCTTGTTCGTTTAATAAGAAACAGTAGAGCAACCTTTTGCATGGTGACTATACCAATAAGCTTCTCATCACGCTTGGAGGCAGTCTTTGATCTGATATCTTCTCATGGCTTCCTCCAAATTTAAACAAGTAGTAACGCATTCCATTCGCTTACATAAAGTTACAACTAGAGACATATTCAGATATGATAAGAGGTTCCACAACATGGTGATTAAAAACACAGCATATTATAGTTTTAACGGACACAAATTAATTGTTTCTCTCTTTTTGGCTTTTGAATAAAGTCGTAATCACCTCAATTTTATTAGATGATGAGAAACGCAAAAGTGGAAAGGGGCTCCTACAAAAAAAAAGGAAGACATTTCACTTACTTACGAAATCTAAAAATAGTAAGTTGAGTCAAAAATCCGAATATGGTGAGTTTCCGACCAAAAATACGAGTAAAGTTTAAACTTGTAATAAAAACCAGTTCAATCTACCCAACCAATAGTCGAGAAGACACCATTAAACTTAGCGATCGCTTGTTCCATTACTTAATGAGCCCCCAAATAATGGGCTTATATTAAGCCCAGTAAAGAGTCCAACAAATGTGATTACTAGGGTTTTTGCTTCTAGCAACTCTCATATAAATACAAACCACTCTCCCCATCTACAGCTCGACATCTTTTCTGGTTTGATTTTGCTTGTTAGATCTATGAGTTTGTATAATGTTTTTGTTTTTGGGATGATGTTAAAAAGAGGGCTCCATTTTTAAACGAGTCAACAGCAGGCGCCACTTTAATTGCGTTCTGACTGCCGCTTGGAGCCTAGATGAAATTGCCAGAGGAAGACCCATGAAAACTAATCTCACTATGTTTTCATGATTCAATACTCTTGGTTACATTTATTTGATACAATATTGTTGTGTTTTGCTCGTTTTGGTTGGGTGGGAATATATAAATGGTTTTGGAATGGCATTAAGTCAGACACGGGTGCTTGTTGGGTTAATAAGAAACAGCAGAGCAACCTTTTGCATGGTGCCTATATTATGTAAGCTTCTCATCACGATTGGAGGTAGTCTTGATCTGATGTCTTCTCATGGCTTCCTCCAAATTTAAAGAAGTTACATCCATCTCCTTAGACTTTTTGTTTATAATTAAGTTTTGTGGGTGTTTATTCAGAAATCATTTGACAAAAAGGAGATCTGATTTCTCAACTTCCAATAGTAATTATGGTTTTTTAATCTTTTTTTCTCAGACAAGTCGGCACGTTATGTCTTTTCCAAATGTTGCTTTATGAAATGACTGGTAACTTTTGATTACAGTTTGGCGTGTGTGAAGAATTATTTGACATTCAGTATTAATATGTTTAGAACAAGAATGAAGGACAGATTAGCAAACTGTACAACTACAAAGAACATTCGATTGCAGAAAGTGGTTCTATGTGGCATTTCTAAAACCAAGAGTAATAATAATCAAGAAATAAAAAGCACATTCTTTTGTGTGCACCCATTACTGAAGGAATGTATCAACAGAATGAATGATTGGAGACTACAGAGTGACCTCTGTGTCACAATATTGTTGGCAGAACCAACACGATTTCGTAACAATTACAAACCTTATCAATTGGTATGACAAAGCGCAAGCTATTGATCTTGACATATGTACTCAGAGCATATAAGGATGAAACCTTTATGATCACTTGTGAACTTTAAAGTAACAAGTGAATGGAACCTCGGCGACTTTTCCAAAATAATCATCAACCTCAACCACACCTCAAGTCAATAAGTTTTACAAATTAAAATCAAAGCAATAAAATCTGAAAGAGCAAAAAAAGAGAATTAGGGCTTAGAGCGCTCAACGTCAGTAGTCAATACTTCAGGCTTGAGTCGGAATATATGACCTCGCATTTAACATTTCCGGCTTGAGACATACAAGTAAACGCCGTCGTTTTTGAATGATTACTATTTTCGGCCCAATAGTATGTCTACATGACACGGCCCAATATAACCCATTCGCGGCGGAAATTCCAACGGTGGTTTGTAGTTTGTTGTTAGGTGACTCACTCACTCATGGATGAGTCTCAAGTCCTCGAAGATTAGCTCAGAACAACAGAAAATTAATACAAGAACAAACGTAACATCAAAGAGTGGGAGAAGATGATGCTTGCTAGATTTGTATTTCGATCTCAACTGAGACATTCTATCTCTGTTCGTCATTCTGCTTCTTACTCCTCCTCTGCATCCGCAGCCTCAGCTGAAGCTGAAAGAACCATTCGTGAAGGTCCGAGAAATGACTGGAGTAAAGATGAAATCAAGGCTGTCTATGATTCTCCTGTTCTTGACCTCCTCTTCCATGGAGTAAAGTTTCCTCTTTTCTCTCTCTCTCATTCACTCCACTCGTTGTTGTTCTGTTTCCCCTGATTCTTCAGACATGTGAAGTAGAAAGCTTTTGGCTTTCTGTCCGAAAATATAGATTTATTGTTGTCCTTTGAGCTTGAATCTCACTGAAATGTATCTGCCGGAACATTCGACGAATCTTGTCCGAGATTATTATTGTCGGCATTCTTCATTTTCATTGTTCTTTGTCTTGTAATTGGTAATGATATTTTTGTGTGGGGGTTTCAGGCACAGGTTCATAGGCATGTTCATAACTTCAGGGAAGTACAGCAATGTACTCTCCTCTCCATAAAAACTGGAGGTTGCAGTGAGGACTGTTCTTATTGTCCTCAGTCCTCTAGATATGACACTGGTGTCAAGGCCCAAAGACTCATGTCCAAGGACGCTGTCATTGTTGCTGCTAAGAAGGTTCGCTCTTTCCTTGTTAGAGTTCTTTTACTCAATGTATGGTCTATAGCACAGTGTGTCAATAAGAAAACATGAGGTGTAATCTAAGATACATTGTGTTGCATCTCTTTTTACTCTCTAAAACTATAAATCATCAAGCTTGAGGATAATGATGACAACTAGCAATTTAGGATCCTGTGATTGTTTTAATGAAGCATTTTTGAGAATGTAATAAGCTATATTATGATGTGAATAAATCAATTTACATGTGTTGTTAGGCAAAAGAAGCTGGTAGCACGCGGTTCTGCATGGGTGCTGCTTGGCGAGATACAGTAGGAAGGAAAACCAATTTTAACCAGATTCTTGAGTACATAAAAGAAATAAGGTACTCATATTGCTGACAATTTACTGACAACTTCATTTTGAGCTTGTTTTATCCGTGAATGAATGAACATGATGTTGAATATTGTCTCTTGGCTGTAACATCTCTGTATCTATATTTTTTGGCTCCTCACAGAGGCATGGGGATGGAGGTGTGTTGCACATTGGGCATGATTGAGAAGCAGCAAGCGTTAGAGCTAAAGAAGGCTGGCCTCACTGCTTATAACCATAATCTTGATACTTCAAGAGAGTACTACCCCAACGTCATCACTACTAGAAGTTATGATGAACGTCTTGAAACTCTTGACCATGTTCGTGAAGCTGGTATCAACGTCTGTTCAGGTGACTTTGATATAGCTTTTCTTATTCTTTTGTATGCCTCAAACCTAGCAAAATAGAGGACATGAAACTGTTTCAATTCTTATACTCATGATTCCGTAATATTCATTTGATTTGGTATATCCAATAGTAAAAACATGTTCTTAAGTGTTTTCTTTTTACCGATAAACAGGAGGAATAATAGGGCTTGGAGAGGCAGAGGAGGACAGAGTAGGTTTATTACACACATTGGCAACACTTCCTTCTCACCCTGAGAGTGTTCCCATTAATGCTCTTCTTGCAGTGAAAGGGACTCCTCTTGAAGACCAGAAGGTAACTAGAAAGACAAACTACTTAGTGGTAAAAGGCTTTTGAAAAAATCTTTTGTGTTTCTGCAGCCGGTTGAGATATGGGAGATGATCAGAATGATTGGAACAGCAAGGATTGTGATGCCAAAAGCAATGGTGAGGCTATCTGCTGGTAGAGTCCGGTTCTCAATGCCTGAGCAAGCCCTGTGTTTTCTTGCTGGTGCAAACTCTATCTTCACTGGAGAAAAGCTTTTGACAACACCAAACAATGATTTTGATGCAGACCAGCTCATGTTCAAGACGCTAGGACTCACTCCTAAACCCCCAAGTTTCTCTGAAGATGATTCTGAATCAGAGAATTGCGAGAAAGTTGCTTCTTCTCACTAGTTTGGACTCTCTGAGTAGATCTATCTTTTCTCTATGTAGCATGATTGGACGATTTAGTGATACCACTTTTTTTATTGCCTGATGTTATATTGAATTGAATTGGTCTCAGTTTATGTTACACGTTGCCATAGTTAGTTGATACTTCGTTTTAATATTCATTTCTCTAACCACCAAAGGATCTAACCTTTTTTATGGTGCTTGTTATCTCAGAAAGACATAGTGAATAGCTATTGGCGTATGTTAATAATTGAAGGTGAGTTTTTTTTGTGATACTCCCCAGTGATAATCTCACCTTCACTCTATGGAATAAGACAAGAAACGAACTCATAGGTTGAATGCAATATAGAGACTAGATAAGTAATATGTGGTATGTGAACATATACCTGTAGTTAGAAACTTGGAATCAACTTTTGCCAAACTCTTAGGAACAGTTAGGTTTGTAATAACTCATCCAAGCTCATGGGTGAAAACATGGAAGCAAGATAGTCTTCTAAACAAAATTTCTTGATCCAATATGAAATTATTTATTATTGATTTTGCTCTTTATAGAATGCAATACAAGAAAGTTCCTAGCAAAATCTTCGTTGATCATTAAGAGTGTTTTATACATCCATGAGCATAGCTCATACATACAACATAGGGTGTTACAAGCAGGTCAGTCTCATAAAAGCTGAAACAGAACAGCATCTAAAGAGATATCACTCCTGCAGCAATCATGTTGTTCCCATTTGATTGCTTCAAATCCAAAGTCTTCATCTTCTCAAGTGCATAATCTCACAGTGCATGCCACAGCCTGTGCCCAAAACTTCAACCTTGCTTTGACATCATCAGGACTGTCCCCTGTTTTTTCCCACACATTTCACATCATCAGAAAAAAAAAAAAAACTGAAACGCAGCAAAAAAAAGGTTAAAAGAACTTTTGAAAACTAATGCTCACCAGGACTAGAGATCTTCCAGCTAGCTATCGGAGATTCAATCTTCTCAGGGGAAGAAGAAGAAGTATGGTGATGATGATCTTGATCCATAAACTTGTGACTCATCGAGTAACAAAGCTCAAGAGCAGGTAAAGTATTACAAAGCTCGGGAATCTCCTCGTAGTTAAAACCAAAGCCTAGGTCTACACAACCTTTAAGCTCCTCGAGATCATCGTCCGTTAAACTCTTTGTCCTCTTCAAATCATCAGAAACGTAACCTTCAAGCAACACATTGCTCTTCTTCTTTTTCTTCTTCTCCAAATCCTTGGTTTCTTTCAACGTCTCACCACTAAAACCATTGTCGAACTCTTCTTCAGATTCACTGTACGAGGAACATGAGCTGGAGCTGGTAAAGATCTCGGAGTCTGAATCAACATCAGCCTCGTATGAGGAACAACGAGAAAGAAAAGCTGAGTCGCACATTGTTGAATCTCTCTGGGAAGTTTGAAGAAAGAAAGTGTAAGAGAGAAAGAAGGTGAAAGGGGTGCTTATAAAGCTAGCAACGGGCGGCAATTATGTCTTGTCTCTTTCTTAATCATGTGGTTATGTATAAATGTATGGTATGATGATCATTATACCATAAACTCGAAACTGGGCCCACCATGTGCGCCAAGGATCTTGTCGTCGTCAGAGAGCACATTTGGCCTATTATTCCAACTCGTGTTTCTCTTTAAGTCGTGTAATAATATTATATATATTTGATTTAGTATAATGTATTAGTTAAATCGATATGATGTTTTGATAATCTTCAACGTATCACGAATATATCTGTTCATATAATAATTTAATTTGAGAATTATAAAATACGTTAGCATGTATATTATTGAACGAACACGCCTTTATATATGATACAAGATTTATCTTATTTTCTGTTTAAATAAACTCACCTTATATTTTTAATTTATATGCTCACGCTATAATGATCACAAATAAATAGTTAATAGATAGTGTCGAATGTCGTGAGCCTCTTGAGCCTAGTCACAAAGAATCACACCACAATTTTTTTTCACTGTAAACGTGAAATTTATGTGGATAGCATTTGCTCAATAGCAAAAGTATATATAGAAATATTGGTTATGGGTCCATGCGAAAGAATAAAAAGAGTATAGAATGTATTGAGTTACTGGTCCATGTATATAGTCAAGCTGCAAATGTGGTGGATAGATATTGAGTTATTATTGGGTACATACATGTAGAATATAACTACGAAAAATGATGTCTACATGCTCTATTTCATATATAGTGAAACCTCTATAAATTAATATTGTTAGAGTTACACCAAAACTTCAAATTTTTATTAATTTATAGAAATTATTAATTTATCGACATATTTATTAGATCAAAAATTCAATTTAAAACTATAAAATTATATTATTTTATACAATTTTTTAATATATTAATCTATAGAATATTAGTTTAGTATAACCTCTGGCGGCCGCAACAAAAAGTCATTGTTCCAAACTTATAAGGTAGGCTTCAGTTATTCTATTGAAATATATTTGTATTCAGCTGCTATAAATATATTTAAGTGAATAGATATTCCTTTCATTTCAGTTTATATGTCATTCATATTTAAAAACAATATTTTTTATTAATTTTATCTTTAATTAATATATTAATTTATTTGTATTTATAATTAATAAATAAGCAAAATAAAGATAAAACTGAATTTTTTTGACAAATATAGCTATTGAAACATAAATGACACTCAACATAAAATAAAATATACAACGAAACTAATATAAAATAGGAGGAGTAACTGTGTAGATGAAGTTTAAGAAAAAAAAACTGTGTAGATGAAAGACTAATGTATTAGATAATTGAATTATTGCAAATCTAAGTAATTCAACTCTGGCCTGCCAAAAGTCGTTGGCCTCGAGATGTGCCATATCAGTTTTACATTTCACTACGACTAAACAAGATTTTTTTAATACAAGTAACTTTAGGTTCCACAACAACATTATATTTTCTTTTTATATCTTATTTTGTTGATATTGGCAAGCAAATAAAAAGTGTGATTCGTTGATAGTCTAATCGACAAATGTTAGTGATCATAAACAAATTAATGGAAGGACTATTAGTGTCGGTTTTCCACATCGCTAATTGATGTATACAAGTGAAATAAATTGCGTAATTTGGTTCTCTATGGTAGTGTATTCATATAGCCACTGATCTAAAGAACTTTACTTGAGCTAACGTTATTTTGCTTGTTTTATTTTCAAAATAATGTTTTATAACTCTAGAACATGTGTCTATATGTTTATTATTAGCAAAAGAAATAAGATTAGAAGAGTGTAGCTATTTGAATTATTGTTATCTGTTTTTCATGATATCATGGATTAGTTGCTATTTTTCTATTAATTTTTGTTGTAAGCTGATGTGTTTCATAACTCCAGTTATACAAATCTAAACAAACAAGTAACATATGCATATAAATCCATAACATCGACTTGATTGGTTTATCTTAGAGAAGAAAAATGGTGGAAACCAAAAGAAGAATGATTCTCGAAATTTCTAGTGGAAATAATAAAATAAGAAAGAAAAATGATCGTGGTCCAGCGTCTGATGAGCTAATTGGCTTCATTGACAAATTAACATGACTTTGATATATGGTGCGCCGGCGTCAAATGGAGACAAACATGTCATATTAATATATGATAAAATGTCATGGTATAGATGTTATCATGATATGGTGACGATGGTGACATGACATGGTATAGATGACATGTCATTATGTTTTTCTACAAATGTGGGTTATATAAATGCAGGAGACGAGACATAGTTTACTTTCTCGTATTTGCAAGGCTCCAAATGATTGTGGTGGTTGTCACTCTGTGAACAATGTTAACATATAGATGCTATTATTATTGCACATTGAATAGCTATGTTGATCTGGTATAAAACTTTAGGTCAACTAAAATATGATTCAGACAGGTATAATATAGTAATAAGTTTTGTTTTCTGATAAAGCTTGTTTGGATCAACAAAGCATCAAATAATAACTGTCAAGTAAGTTTGGTTCGATTAAGCGATCAACAACTATCAAATAGTAAGTTATTTTTCGTAAATTAATGTAAGAAAACGAAGTGAATTGTTCGTTTATTTTACTTAATTTCTTGTTTAGTTGTTTTCAAAGATTGTTATTCAATAGTTGTGTTGATAGAAACAACAAAACAAACGCATGTGGAAGGGTAAGGATTATAAAATGTGGAAACAACAAAACAAATGCATGTGGAAGGGTTAGGATTATAAAATATGGAAATGGAAGAGAAACAGAATCTGTGTTACAAAAAAAGGAAGAGAAACAGAATCTCACACACATGTGAACGAGAGACACACAAAGCAGGGGAGGTGTCACGTGGACATTTACGATAAGAAACGAATTGGCTTAAGGCTTTAAAAGGGCCCACTAAAACACAATAAAAGACAAAGAGACCCAACAACTCACGTGTCCCCATTTTTCCACTGCAGCTCAATTAATCAGCACCACATTTTCACACAACTATTTTCTCTGGTCTGGTCTTCACGACCTTCATGTTCTCCTTGGTCCCCTCACTTACATCATTATCATTTGTCGATTTACCACATGCATACTATTCTTTTACCCTTTTTCAAGTTCACGGGGTTGACAATACTATAGCCTTAAAATAATAAAAAGTTGTTTATATACACAAAAGATATGATGACATTCAACTTTTATTGATAAAGCCCCTATTTATACTATAGAACCATGGACAGAAAAAGTATAATGGAACTCATTGCAGTCTAGATAACCATATCTAAAAGAGGATAAGAAAATCAATATCAGATAAGTACAAAAAGAAAAAAGTTTGAAGACAGATGATTAAAGTAATAAACTGTTGAATTGCCAAATCACAAACCTACACTGTATAGTGTGACACATAACAACTCATAGGATACGTGATACATTACACAATCCAATCATACATTATGGTGGCCCTAGTTTTATTGCCATGTCCAAATACATTAAATGTTTCTGTTTCATCTCCCTTATGCTTTCCTCATAAAATCAATTAATGTTGTGACTAGGAGACAAGGATATATCTGTTTATAATCCAACCGAAGAAGAAGATATATGGTGTAATACAATTCCTTTGACTAGTCTTATGTTTATGATTCAACACTCATGTAGACACATGCATCATACAGGGAGTTGTAGACAAGAAATCTCTAGAACATACGACATAGACATGACTAGAATCCAAAGTAGACTTTAAACCGTATTTAATAACAAACACAGTTCCTAACACATTATACCAATCCCAGCATCACATATCTATCACTGAGCTAAACCGGAACCAATCTTGGTTTACTCTGGAGACTGTGACGCCACAATGTATGGAGCATAAACCACTCAAGACCGAGACCCCTGCTCAAGTAAACCCTCCATGTTGTTGCCATCTCTGCCACTACCCCAAGCCCTCTCTTTCCAAATCTGCTCAACTTCCAAAAACGTTAGCCCTTGAGTCTCAGGGACAAACACAATCACAAAGATAACCGCTAGAACCGCGATTCCCGCCAAAATCAAGAAAGTAACTCCAGTACCAGCAGCTTCTGCTATTGACAAGAATGTTTGCGCCACAATCAAGTTACTAATCCAGTTAACTGTCGCAGACATCCCTCCACATATCCCTCTGTATTGTTGTGGATATATCTCTGAGTTAACCGTCCAAGGAACCGGTCCCATTCCCGGTGCAAAGAAGGCAATGTACAGAGCTAAACCAAGAACAGCGAGCCAACCGTATAGCCCTCCATCAGATGATACATCAGATTGTTTGAAAAACGAGACCGAGAGAATAATGAGAGATACAATGACACCACATAAACTCGAGAGAGCAAGCTTCTTCCGTCCACAGTGATCAATGAAGTAGATCCCAACCACTGTTCCAGCAGCGTTCATGCCAGCAACAATGAGAGAGAGTAACAGAGCGATCTGGTTTGAATGAAAACCAGCCATTTGCACTATCGTAGGGCTATAATACATAACAGTATTGATCCCAGTGAACTGCTGAAACGCCTGCAGACATTTAACAAAGTCCTTTTAGATTTCTCAGACAAGACAGCATAACGTGAGGTTTACGTTACCTGAAGTCCTGCTCCTGCGAAGAATGCGAGTCTCATTTCTTTGGATTTAAAGACATCCAAGTAGCTGATAGTGTCTTTCTGCAGCTTCTCTTCCTCTTCAGCTGCGGAAAGATGATTAATCTCGTCTTCTAACCGAGAGATGTCATACATTTTTGAGAGCACTTGGATAGCTTCCTCTTTACGGTTCTTCATGTAAAGCCATCTAGGGGACTCTGGCATGAATAGCATTAGACCGAACTGAATAACAGCAGGAACACCTGAAACACCAAGCATCCATCTCCATGTTCCAGGAACCTGCCAACAAAATAATCTCATGAATCATGTATTCAATTCTATCAAACCCTAACCCTAATTTATGAGATCTATCAATAAGTTACTAACCTGTGTAAAAGCAGAGTTAACTAGGTATGAGAGAAACTGTCCACCAGTGATCATCAACACATTGGTGCTGACAAGTCCACCTCTCACTTCAGATGGAGATGCTTCAGCTATATAAACAGGTGCAGTCACAGAAGCAACACCAACTCCTAAACCAACCAAGAAACGACCCGAGATCAAGACATAAGGATCAGGAGCAGCAGCCATAACGATAGCACCAGCTGCAAAGACAACATCAGCGAACAAAGTGGCCTTTTTACGACCGTAGTAGTCATTGATCCAACCTCCTGATGCAGCACCGATCATGGCACCAACTAAAGCCATGCTTACAATAGTTTCCTACACACAAAAAAAANAACCAAGAAACGACCCGAGATCAAGACATAAGGATCAGGAGCAGCAGCCATAACGATAGCACCAGCTGCAAAGACAACATCAGCGAACAAAGTGGCCTTTTTACGACCGTAGTAGTCATTGATCCAACCTCCTGATGCAGCACCGATCATGGCACCAACTAAAGCCATGCTTACAATAGTTTCCTACACACAAAAAAAATGACATTCATTCACTGAAAGGTATCAATTTTGAAGAGAAATAACAATAAATATTATATATATATATATACCTGTAAGAAACTGCTTTGTTTAACAACTTGGAAATCATCTTTAATGTACAAAAGGGCACCAGATATTACACCTTTAAAAAAAAAAGTGACACAAATAAGTTAAATGAGATAAACCTAAAACATAACACTACCAATCCAATGAGACATATAAAAAGACTTAAAAGTTTCAATTCAAAGTAGAAAACTATCAAATCTACTAACAAGTAATTAAAAGTTTCACCTGTGTCATAGCCGAAGAGAAGACCACCGATGCCAGCAGTAAGAGTCAAACCGAGAATGTAAGGATTACCAAAATAAGACATCCTTCTCTCTGGATACATGTCCAAGTACCCTGAGCTCCCTGGTGCTGATTGGATCGTCAATGTCATCTTCTTCCAAATTATATTCCCTCGGTCTAAGAAGAACACTGCACTTTCTAAACAAAAAAAAAATGTTGGATCGCCAAAATAGACAGAGATTTGATCTGGAGTTTACACGGCTATGTGCATATGCCTACAAGACAATAATAGAAGAAATAGAGAGAGATCTTATAGAAACGTGGCGAGCTACTCTGGATCAGGTTGTCTAATTATTAGCAGCTATGAGCTAACAATGTAAATCATTTTTACCCGCGCAATGTTCTTATTTAATTAATACTACGTACAGTGTAGGGGGTACACGTGTTATAAGTTTAGATGATCAGTGATAACTAGTGGCTCTTGTTTATGTGTATCCACGCTCTTCTCGAACCATCTATATTTACAAAGACACATTTTACATGTAAACGTGTTTCATTAGGTGTTGTAAACCGTGATTTCTATTTTTACTGTAACAATCAATTACTGCTACTCTGCTACTTATGAAGCATATGTTTGACCAGAGATTACTAGTTAACCGTGATTTCTAAATTTATTTTATTTTTATTTGGTAAAGGAAATTGTTTTCATCAAGTTCAACTTGTTTTCATCAAGCCGGGAAGACAACAAACTCCACCTTTTGTCTAGATTGTTCTTTGCCTGTGGAAAGTAGCTCTGAGAGAGTCTATCCACGCCTTTGTGTTTACCTTTCAAGTGATAAAAGAGGAGGACGCAGCTACTAACTATGCTTTACTTGAATTTACAATGCTTACGTACATTTCAAACCATAATTCTTTGTAGACATATATGAGTTTGTGCATATTCGTCCAAAGAAGAAGCAATCTCCTCCCATCACAGTTTCTTTATCCAGATTTAAGTAAATTGAATACTCCTCTAGAGGAATGTGTGCTCTACCACTCATCCAACTGAGCTAAACCAATAAGAAAAAAAAAAACATTTGTATCAATGTTCAATTCTGTAGACTAGTGAATTCCAATTTAGTGCCAGTGCGTTCAGTGATGCTCTCAATTGCAGGATACTTGAGAACACACAGCATGTTTTGTGCCTGTACGTTCAGTGAGATTAGCACTGCTTTCGTAGAACAAGAGTATCAAAGAGGAGGAGAACCTCAAGGACCCTTTTGCCCCTGAAACTTGTAAGGACATCAACAAGAACAATAGCACTCTCCCAAAACTAATTTTTCCCTGCAAGAAAATGATTTTTTGCAAAACAAATATTTATGATTTCTCTATATATTCTTAACCCAGTCCGTTATTTTGTGTTAATAGAAGTGCATACGTTTGTTTTTGAGTAATGAAGCAAAGACACACGATTCATCAACATCAAGAACTTCTAGTGTCTTAAAGCTTAGAAGTGGTTAACCCTCTTCAAAAGTGCATTTGTAGTACCTTGAAAACTTGTAAAGCGACCACAAGTACATTAATCTCCCCTGGATATATATATGTGATGAGCTGCTGTCTACAAAAAAAAAAGAAACAAAGAAACCGAGACAATTGACCAAATGGACAAGTAAGGTGAGCTTCGAATGTCATCGATCGCATCCATAAAATGAATCCATCATTAACCATATATAAATAGCTTCCAAAGATGTAGGAAACAACCTTTGAAGAAACAATGTGAATGAGCAAGATAATGGAACTTGTATGCAGAAACAAAGTGTGCTAAACTACAGTATTGATAGTAGTATAACAACATAAGGCACTGCTCTTAGTCAATATCCATAAACAAGTAGAAACTTGTATGTGCTTGCATGGAAAGTCAGAGAGAATATAAATCCACTTATATATTGACTTTAAATGTTACTGGAAAGAGAAGATAAACAAAACTAATAAAAACACAGTTATACACAAGACAAGTGATCCCTAGTTTCGAAGAGGTGAGCAAATATAACCAGCTACTACTAGAGACGCGAACACAATCTCTAGGATCCCATGTTCATTACGTCTCAAAGCTTGGAATATCCAAGAACAGCCAGACTCCTTGGAAAACAAGGAGCATCTAGACATCCTTGTTTCAACACTTGGACGAGGATACGGATGGCTCGGTTTCAAAGGAAGTGAGACCAAACTCTCCACGTATGGAGATATAACACAAGTGTCCAGGGAGAGACAACGAATCTCATTTGTCCCTGGATAATACTTAAACAGCCTCTTCTGGTTGTCACAGAAGACAAGATTCCCTTTCTTAGAAACCGCCAATGGCGTGAACCACCTATACCTCCTTCGCCAGGAAACAACTCTAAGCTCTAAACGTATGGAAAAAGTCTTGCTCCATCGTGCATTATCATCCATGCTCCATATATCTAGTCTCCATTCAGGCCATTTACTCGTATGGACATATGCTAGACGCCCCTCAAGGTTCACTATCAGCGATTCATTCGTGGTCCGTGAAGTAGCTGGAAAAGGGATGATGTTGAACTCTTGTTTATGAAGATCCAATGCAAGTAACTTGCGACGCCCTCCAGCTTCAATGTGTAACCAGTAGATGGAACCATTTACACATACAGATTTGCTTCCGGGATTGACCACATGAGAAGAAGAAGGTGGAGGACTCAGTTTACTCCATACACCACTCTGAACATCAAGAACACCACATTCCACCACAGCTTCCTCTTGCCCTATTTCCAGATAAGAAAAACACAACCTCACTACTTTAAATCTTCTAGTTACCTTGTCTCTACCGAACCCCATCGCCCAGTTTTCCGGAGAGAAGCTCGTCCATAATCCTCAAGACAAAAAAAAAAAGTATTGATTTCTATATTGATTTTTATCCCTCAAAAAGGTTTCTCTTTTCTTTTAATGTGACTAAAAACTTTCTATGTCAATGTAACACAAAGTGTAAAACAGTTTTTTGTTTGAATTAATTTAACATTCTTTCAAAAAAAAAAAAATTTAATACCGAAGCCAAATCTGCACTTATGGTTCAAGCCGGAAGGGAATCTTCGGAGCTGACTGGTCGAAGGGTTCAAAACGATGATCCAATCTTGTTCGGGGAAACAGAGCAAACCGTCGCAGGTCAACGAGGGTCGTGAGGCTTGGCAGTGAAGATACACGATCTCTTCGTCTCCTTCGAACCGTGACTCAGGGAGGAGACGTGGACGATCGCCGCAGTCGCAATTGTATGCAGCGAGGATCCTCCGATGATTCTTTTGAAGAACCATACGTTTCTCTGAGAACCTCCTCGACTCCAGGAATGATCTACAATGTTTTGATACGGTTCTGAATCTGATTATCGATTTCAATGGTAGTCGTATGAATATTTCTTCCAGTAGCTCGGGAAGTATGCACATGGAGGAATTAGGGCTCTCTTCTTCCCTCATTCTTTCTTGTGTGCCGACAAAGATCAGAAACAGAAACAGAGTTTCTGTTTATGTCCGAGATTCATCTAAAAAAAGTTACGTTACTGTTTGGGCCGCTGGTCCACAAGAGCGTATTTTATTTTATGCACTTCTGTATTCTACTTGAGATACAAAAAAGCCCATCATGATCTAGAGCGTTTTTTTTTTGTCAACGTATTTTATCTACTATATTGGTTACGGTTCAATTGATTTGCTAAACTGATATCCATATAATTGATAAGTTTATTTGATTTTCAATTTAAAATCAATTGGTTTCTTTTTCTTTTTCCAGATCTTATCCATATCATTGATAAGTTTATTTGATTTTCAATTTAAAATCAATTGACAACAAGTATATCGAATCAAGTTACATGTAAATTATTTTCAATGTAAGATCTTTGCCTCTAACATACACCTTCTAGATAATGGTGGGTATAACCATTAATCTCGACAATCCATTATACTCTTTCTTGAACAATGTTTTTTTAGCAATTTCGACGAAACTAACCTTCTATGAATCATCAGGTAATAGGATGATCGGGTCACTTTCCAGACCGAATTAACGAGCCAGGTATAAGTCCGCTCTAATTCCTGTTAAATTTTTTGGATTTCCAACTTAAAACCAATTGAAAATTAGTGTATTGATCCAATACAATACAATTTTTAAATAGCATTAGTGATTTAACTGTGTAAGGTAGTTGTAGTGAAACATATGTAGGTGCATATTGGTTTTTAAGCATCAATCATTATCCAAGTTATTGAAAATTGGTAGTTGTCGCTAACTGTTTGCTATGTTCATTGATTGTGCATATAACCATTATATTTAGAAACTAGAAGTCTAGTTCCATAATGAAATCTCTTTGGAGACTTCGGTTAGGTTAAGACGATCAAAAAGGAAAATGTAGAAACAAACAAGTACTCCTTTCTTAAACTAACTTTAAGTTTCCTTCAATTACGATACTCTAAACAAAATATGAATCTATGAAACAGGAAAATGGATCTTTCTCAAGAGAAATTGAATGAAAATTGCATAAACTTTCTTACCCAAACTTGAGTCGACGTCTATCGAGATCTCCTCTCTCGATTGCTCTCTATTTGAAACAAAATATGTAAACAAATGAACGAAAAAAGAAATTTTTTTTTTTACCTTTTAGTATTTATTAATTGTTCTGTGAAAGAGTAACCTATAATATTTTCTATTCGGTAAAAGGTTTTTCTACACACCCATCAGACAACACTCTTTTATTTTGTTTCTCTACTTCTCCTCTTTAAAAGATTACCTCTGTAAGTCAACCATGCTACATCCACTTTTGTGACTGTGGCCACCATAACGAAAGCAACAATCTCTGTTCTATGGCCCCATATTGTTCTTCCAGCGGCTAAAAAAATGATACAATATTATTTCATTTCTATTTTGGACAAAACAGAGATGAAAACGGCTCTTCTAGCAAGGAGGAAGGAGATTTGTGTGATTGCAATAATAGCAATTTTTCAGCTCTTTGACTGAAGATATCAACTAAATAGCAGGAAGCAGAAATGGCCTTGAACAATGATGAAACACCCTAGATAGCAGTCGCTCCTGCACCAACAGCTACACCATTTTATCAGATAACAAGCCGTTTTTAACTTTGAATCATTACCGTTCTCTTTGTTATCAAAATCCTGTATCATATACTCAGACATATCTTTGACTTCTTGAGTTTTCTAGTGCTTCCTAGGACATGTGAGGTTACTTGCATATTGCTACTATGTTCTTAAAAATTTTAGCTTCACTACTAAGAAGATCTGCCACAAGTGCATAGGATTTGTGAGAGCTGTGAAAACTGAACTTTTGGTTCCAAGGTTCTTGTTCAAATCAATGCGTAAGTAGACCTTAAACAGCAATCTGGAAAAGGTAAACTTGGGAGAGAACATGTGTATCCATGTGTTCACCTCTATCTCACATGAGACAACATCTTTCTGGCATTGGTTAGAGCTGTCCTAATAGATGGTAGATCATTAAATATGTCATGATGATCAACAAGTAAGGAATAAATGGTGGAACCTCATAATCATCTAAGTATAACCCACTAGAAGGTCCGCTAGCAACACAGCTTGATGCGCTAAGCTCTCTACTGATCTATTTGACATGCAAAGATAAGCATCATTTGTTATCAGAAACCTCCTTGATACTGAAAAATACAGCAGAGCCAAAGTTTTGTGGTATGGTACTATTAGCTAGAAGTTTCATCTTGTCTCCTGTCTCAGTTTCTTCATAAGAGCCGACATTCCAGTACCATAAACGAAGAACCAACCAACCTCCCGAGCCACCCTCTTGATGCCCCATTAAAACTTGTCCCAAAAATCTCCCTCAAAACCAAGATCCGTGCAACCCTTTCTTTGTTAACCGTGTCTACAAAACAATGCTTAAGAACTCTGAAAGCTGACGTTGGGATCAAATTACTAGACCCATATGGTAACACACACTCTCTTCAACTTGAGAGCTTCTCCAAAAAATCTGATTTGTTCACTTGAGCCACAACAACATCAGGATGGAGAAGGAGTTCGCGTATAAGTGTTGAATGATGCCTATATGTTCTCAAACCACAAAACATAAAAGGTGGGACAAGAAGAGTAACAAGTCAAGTTTGTATTTAGGTATGTAAAAGTTTTAAGTTGCTTGTTGCAGTAGTGTAAATGTAAGTCAAAAAGAATGGGCTATATGGAGAGTACTCTAGGTCTAAGTAAGAAATAAGGCAATATAGAAAAGATCGAGAGTGTTCTATTTTCTCTATAAATATGTAATGGCCAAAGTTGTGTAATGCAAGCAAGTAAGAATCAGTTTCTCCACCACTTCATTCTAAGCTTTCAAGTCCAAAAACGTTTTTCTTTTCTTTGAACAAGAACTAAAACAAAACAAAAGAAACATGAAGAAAATCTGCAATTTTCTGCGGTTCACAACAATAAGACACTCAGCGTGATCAGTAGCAGATCTCTGAGATAGATTCTGAGCAGAGAATAAGTAAATACTGGTGGCAATATTGTTAATTATATATTTTTAAAAAGTTAATTCGTTGGTTGATTAAGAGTCTTTTAGTGCTTTGACATTTTCGAGTTTTTGGAAAAAAACAGTTACGTAAGATAATTGGTTTAGGTAGCCCCTACAAAAGACATATAAAATTATCAGTTATCAAATCATCCATGTAACAAAAAATTGTAGCATTATTGAATGGATACCCCCCTTCTTCAATTTTGATGCTATGTATTAATGGAAAAATTAGATACAACGGTTACGAATATTACGAACCAAAACTGGTTTTGAAATTTATATTAAGCGTCCAGTTTTTACTCAGCCTTTGAGAAAGACCCTCTCTTGTGTTCTGTACCCTGTTGTTTCCTCTCCTTGTCACTTCCAGAGAAGCCTCACGTAAATTCTGAATCCCTCGACCAAGTTTTGCAATCGAAGGAGCTGAAGGGAGAGTCACAGCTGCATGTTCAATCCCTTTTCCATAGACGTGCGATCCCCACCAAATTACAAGACTGGCTCCAAAGACCACCCTTGGTAAGGCACCGATAGGTTTTGCTAGTCGTTTCCGTATCATCATCGTATAGAATGCACCTCTCATGGTAGAGAAGCTAGTCCGTTGAGCAGAAGTTAAACCAAACTTTGTTAATGCTCTGATGATTTTCCTCGGGGATAAAGAGAGCTTCTCCAAAGACATTGGTTGGGCTCCGTAACTAGCAAAACACGGAGTCATTAGGCTCATTACTGTTGACGGGTACGCCACTTTGGTAAATGCAAACGGCATTGCCTTGTGAGTCAAGAAAGGGTTCAACGGGGATTTTATTGTTAAAATCTTGAACATAGGAGACGCAAAAATGGCCTTGGATAGTGTTAAAGCACCTGAATCATCATTACTATCAAAACCTTGCACCGTATGCTCAGTGGACATATCTTTGACTTGTTGAGGAACACAAGTTCTCCAGTGCCTCCTAAGACCTGCGAGATTGTCTGCATCTACTACCCCTACTATAGTCTTAAACTTCTTAGCCTGACTACGAAGCTCATCTGCCATAAGTGCATAAGATTTGTCCGTAAAAGATAGCTTTGAAAACTGAACTTCATCAGTTCCTAAGTTCTTGATAAGTATCCGACCAGCATTGTTCGAAGCAATTCTAAGACTTTCAACTGCATCCCGGAATATGTAAGCTTCAGTAAGAGCCTCTGTATCAATGGATTCCCCTTTATACACATTATGGAGTATCTTTGTGGCACTGTCTAGAGCTTTCCTAATAGCTGGGAGATCATCAAATAATGTGTTATGAATCTGAACAAGTAAGTTATAAGTGGAACGAGCAAATCGTGGAGCCCTCCTTGGTTTTTTAATCCCTTTACTGAGATGCGAAGATAATAATAGTCTCTGCATTACTAATTGATGATCATTGATTAAAGCAGAGCCATGATAAGCTTTTCCTGTGAGAGTTTTCCTTAGATGTTTCATGACAAACGGAGAGTCAAGTACCACATACGTTGAACCAACCTCCCCAGCCACCTTTTCGACAGTCAATAGATGCTTATTAAAACCTGTCCCAAAAATCTCCTCCATAACCAAGTTCCCTGCAACACGTTTGTACTTTTTTTTGCTAATTTTTTTGTCGAAAACACAACGTGTGACAACTTCAAAAACTGACGTTGGGATCGAACCAGTGGATCCGTCTTCTAACACAATCTCGTCCTCGGCTGCTCCAAAAGCTGAAGGGTTCACCTGAGTCACAACAGCATCAGGACGGAGTTCATGTATGAGACACTCTGCGTCGGTAGCAGATCTTTGAGATAAGTTGTGAACAGAGAGTAAGTAAATGGTGGAATCATGCTCAGGGACTTTGATTGCGAAAACAAAGTTCTTTGTACTCTCAGGCAAGGCAAGTCTCTGAACAAGCTCATTTGATTCCTTCAGGTCATTATCCATTATTGAATATGGCAATAGATCTTAATTAATTACCAGTTTGAATTACTTCTTGCACAACGGGCTACACTATATATAGATCTGCAAAACTAAAATAAGTAAATACCAATAATTTCCTTTTTCAAAAATTGAATCTGTAGCAAAATTAAAATAAGTAAATACCAACAATTTCCTTTTTCAAATGTAGCTTAACATTTTTCTGTTTTCATAATAAAAATGTTTATTTTCGTTTGAGCTGAAATTATTTAATTTTTTTAATATAATATACTCAGTTTATTGGATTCTGATAAATTAAACGATTATTGAAAAATAACTGATATGTTTTGCCTATTTGATAATGTAATTATTTCCTGTATTGTATTAACAGAAAAGTTAGATACAACGTTTACAAAAATAACGAACCAAATTTGGTTTAAAACTCAAATAATTAACCGTCAAATTCCTCAACCTTTGAGTAAGACCTTCCATAGCGTTATGTACCCTGTTGTTTCCTCTCCTTGTCACTTCCAGAGACGCCTCACGTAAGTTCTGAATCCCTCTACCAAGTTTTGCAATCTCAGAAGCTGAAGGAAGAGTCACAGCTGCACATTCAATCCCTTCTTCACAGTAGACCAACCCTGAAAAAGTTGCAAGACTGGCTCCAAGCACAACCAATGGTAAGGCATGGACAGGTTTTGCTAGTCTCTTCCGCATCATCATCGCATAGAACGCAGCTCTCATGGCATCAAAGCTAGTAGACTCAGCTGAAGTTAAGACATACTGTGTTACTCCTCTGATTCTCTCGGCGGATAATGATGATTTCACAAATGTCCTTGCTGTTGAGGGATACACCATTTTGGTAAATGCCAATGCCTTGCGGGTCAAGAAGAATCTGGCATTGGATAGTGTTAAAGCACTTGCACCAACCGCCACCACTGGTATTAGCTTTAAATCATCATTACTATCAAAACCTAGCACCTTATGCTCGGTTGACATAACTTTGTATTCTTGAGGAACACAAGTTCTCCAGTGTCTCCTAAGACCAGCGAGGTTACCTGCATCTACTACCGCTACTATGCTCTTAAACTTCTTAGCCTGACTACGAAGATCATCTGCCATGAGAGCATAAGCTTTGTCATCAGAAGATAGCTTTGAAAACTGAACTTCAGTTCCTAGGTTCCTGATGTTTAGCCGACCAGTATTGTTCAAAGCGATTCTAAGACCTTCAACAGCAATCCGGAATAGGTAAACTTCAGAAAGAGCCTTTGTATCAATGGCTTCACCGTTATTTACATCAGACAACATCTTTGTTGCAGTGTCTAGAGCTTTCCTAATAGCTGGGAGATCATTAAATATGTTATGAAGCTCAACAAGTAAGTTGTAAACAGAATGTGCAAACGGTGGAACCTCAGATTCCATCTCATTACTTAAGTGAGTGATATGTGAAGATAAGAGTCTCTGCATCAGTGACTGTTGATCATTACTTATCCTAAACCTTGTTGATGAGCCTAAAGCAGAGGCATAAGAATAATCTTGTCTTGTGGTTAGACCTTCCATAACAAAAGGAGAATCAAGTACCTTAAAAGTTGAACCAACCTCCTCAGCAACTCTTTTAGCAGCCAATAGATGTGCGTTAAAACTAGTCCCAAAGATCTCCTCCATAACCAAGCTCCCTGCAACGCTTTGGTACTTTTCTTTGTTGAGACTCTCGTCGAATAGACAACGTGTAAGAACTTTAAAAGCTGACGTTGGGAAGATGGAATCAGTTTTTGAGCTCTCCTCCTCTTCTCCAAATGCTGAAGGGTTCACCTG